GTGAAGACTAATCAGCCATTATGAGTTTGTGAATCTTCATACACAATGAATTTAAACTCGTGTGTTAAAGCCTTCCTTACTCTTTCCAGAAATAACACACCAGCACCATGTCTGACGACGAATCAGCATATTCGTAAGTATCTGTTATTATTTACTTATTTATTCATTATTTAGTATTTAGTATCCCTACCATTACTTTCTTGTTTATATACATATATATATATATATATATATATATATATATATATATATATATATATATATATATATATATATATATATATACATACATACATACATAACTGCTATTGTTTGCTGTACTCTTTTGTATAATATTTATTCTTGGAACTCAATGGTTTGAATTTAGACTGTATTTGTACATTCTGTAATCAGTTGTATAGTATCCAAACATTCCATACAGCCAGTCATAAGTAAAATAGTAATATTACTCGTAGCTTTACAGACCTCGATTTATATATGTGTATTCCTATCAGAATCTGAGTTCCTCTAAAAAAAATCCACATAGTTATCCATTCGCCTCATACATAATCATACATTCTAAGTCGGTAAAAAAAAATAAATTAATTAATGAAAAAATACAGAAAAAATATTACTCTTTCTCTCAATAAAGGAAAAATAATACGATTTTTTCCCCTCTCTCTTTCCAGGGATGCCGAGTAAGTATACCAACGGTCCCGTGTGACACCTCCACACACATCGTCATCCGTGAGATACTTTGTACAGTCCTCAATCCCCAGCTCTCTTAACCACGACCATAATCATAAAAAAGTCCTTTCGTTGACGGCCTACAACCCTTGGCTCTTTCCCAATCCCCTTGTATGTTTATTATAAGCTTCAGTGACTAAAAAAGATATATATATATTCTCTTAGACACTCTAAACCAGAATGAAAGCCACTCTAGAAATGTGTAATGCATTGTTACTTTCCTCTTAACTTACGTATACAAATGAAATCTGATTGGGCAGTCTTTTTTGTATATAGTTATACTTATTCCTTATTAAATGGTAGGCCTATGTCCTCACAAGCGCCCTGTAGATTTGTAAAAAAAAAAAAAATCATTCTTTTTAATGCAGCCTTAGACTTCGTAAAAGTTGATATAGCGTTTCTCTTTGAATTTGTAGCTTGTAAATATTTTCTTTGTTATTTTTTTTACTTTCTTATAAGAAAGGCTTCTGCAGCCACAGCCAAAGTTGAAGTATCTCTTTCTTTAGAATTAAGAAGCTGTGTAGTAGTAGAAATGTAAAATTATATTGTATTTTAGTGGTAGCTGTATCTGACTTTAGCCCTTAGGTTTCAATCCCCGGTCACCAATTTCTTCATCGTGTTGAATCGGCTTTATATATCATTAAAAAAAAGGCGAAATCGTTTCTAGAATGAGTTCTGATCCTCTTGTCACCGCCCGAATCCTTTATCTCCCTGATTAGCTCTGTTTTGTCCTCCAAAGTCCCCCCTTAAAAAAAAAAAACTTTTGTGATCCAGCACTCTCTAAGAAGCAGATGGCATAATCCAACATCTCTTAAACCAAGTAAAAAAACACACCACCTATGTCGCACGCGTCTAAAATAACACCATTAAAACAACGAGAGAACTAAACCACTGAGAACCTTAAGAAGCGCCGGCCGTTTCCACCCCCCATCGCGGATTCAAGTGATGTTCCTTTCCTTTTGTTGAATGAAAGCACTTTACAGAGCTTCCGATGAGGGAGGATATGAAGAGGAACAGCAGACTCAGCAAGTGCGAGAGGAAGTGAAAGAGAAAGTAAAGGACGATACGGAAGACGAGGAGTAAGTCAGGAAACGATTAGCAGCCAGAGCAATTTGATTTATTTATTTATTTATTATTATTTTCTCTTGCGAACTTTGTTTATTATTTTCGAGATTTTCGTTTCGTTTCTCTCTATTTTTGCTCTCTTTTTTTCTCTTGTTTCCAAAAAAAGACCTTCCATCTAGACGAAGTTATACAAGCTTGTATTTTTTGTTCCTCCGCAAGTTCTTCTTTAAAAAAAAGATTATAATTTTTCTTCACACATACGGCCATTGTTTGAGGACAGCAGCGTGCGTTCAAACAAGGCTCTTCTCGTTAGTCACTTTTAGCAGAAAAAAAATTCCCCGGGGCCAGAAGAAGTGCGTGGACCGAGACCTAGACGTAGCATTTCCTGCTGTAGTTCCTGAAGATAACAGTTGCACGTGGAGGTCCTCGTCTAACCACGCTGGTTAACTTCAGGCTGCGCGTGTCTGCGAACTCAGAATGATTACATTAGTATATTTTTCTCATACCTTTTGGTCTTCAGATGGTCTTTTTTTTTGTCATTTAATCTGATTAGATAATATCCAACAGTGACGTATCCGCAATACTGAATTATACAGAATCTTATCCTGAGTTTGTTTCTCGCGGAATCTGAGTTAGCCTCTTGGGTCTCAGCCCAGAGTTAGGGATTCCTGTATTCTGTAATCGCTGCTTCTGCGCCTTCAGTCTGTTGATAACAGGAACTCACATGTGTTCACTGTCTCATTCGAATAAGAAAATACAAAATATGATTACTAACTTTTCTTACGTTCCTCTCTTCGTCACGCTCTCTACCATGTCTTTTAACAAAGAAACAATACTAGTAAAAACGTTATTTCAAATTCTCGCCTCAGAGTCTGCAAACTCTAACTTGTGCTTGTAACTGTTCTCTCTGTTGTGTGCTAAAGCTACGGTGTTATCCTCCTTGCGTTGGCCATGTCACTTGTTATGATGAAAAACAAAAACAAATATGTTGTACATGCCTGTACCGTGTCACTTCTATGACTGCACCGCATGGAAAGGACAAAGCTCTCGATCTCCTGTGCTGTGCCACCAACAGCCCTCAGTGCCCCTCCGTCCGTGTCACACTGTGTCGACTCTACACGTCCTCAGAACAGCTCACCCTACACCCTATTTGTACATACTCCCTCCTCTTATTTACACACGATGTTATTTTTTTCTGTCGTCTTCATGTTTTGAGTTCTTGCTTCCCGTTTGCTGTTTGAGACGTAGTTAGTGCAATGTTTGTAGTTCATTTTGCAACTGATGAGTAAGCTAGTCTGGGCATTTTGCTACTATTGTAGAAGCTTGATTTATTTCATGTTCCCCTGTATAAGCTTTATATATGAATGTAGCAATGTGGTAGTAGTTGCTGTAGTATCAGACTCACATTGGCATTGCTATTTGATCAAATCCTCTTTGTTTAATTCAGCTTGATCTTTATTTTGCCATGAACGTAGCATGATAGTATAGATAATACAAGTAGTAGTATTTCCATTTTTTTTCTCTCTTTTTTTCTTCTTCTTCTTCTTCTTTGCTATGCTGATATAGTTGGGTACCATCATCCCAGTAGTTAGACAACTAACCTTGGCTTGTTGGTTTTTTCTCTTTACAGAAAGTACGTATATGCTCGCCAGTCGAACATACCTTAGTATCAACAATGGTGACTGGTTCCGCCACCCTGACACCTTTCCCATCAGCTGATGTGCCGCCTGGCCCATCAGTTCGCCGACCTTGACATAACCACTTAACATTATATTACTACTACATGCTCACTAATGCCCTATTGATGGGGCGATGTGCTTAGTGCTTATGAGTGTTTTCTTTGTTCATTTATTTTTAGATATTTTCGTATTTTGAATTATTTTTATTTTAAAAATAACGCCATGTCTTTATTTCTGTTTGCATTTATTGTTCCAAACTAAATGATGCAGATAGCGGTATTAATTTCATTTTTTTATCTTTTATTTTAATTATTTTAAGTTTTAAAGGATGCTTATTTGTTTTTTCTAATGATTTATATACTAAAATGCATCAGCAATTTAGTTTTTTTTAAATTCATGCATGAATATAATATTCTTTAAAAGAATATTATCTTCCTAACTTGCAGAACAGAATCGTCTTCATTTTATTAACACAGAACTCTCCCCCGTTAACAATAGATATTCTTTTCACATGTATAAATATATGAAAGTCTTTATTTCTTAATTAATCTCGGTATTGCACTGTCTCTTGCATGTTGAAATAAAAACTCGCTGCTCAGTTCGAGAATTGCTAACGTCCAGTTTTCCTTATATCCAGAATGATATATGGAAATTCTATATACAGATAGTCATTCCTTGTATTACTCAAAGGCAGAATATATCCGCCTTGTTCCCTGTTATCTGTAATTGGTCGTGTTATAATGGCTGATTAAACTTATTCATAGATAAGATTCAACACCGAAACCGTCAGTGTGCCTTATTTTCCTCTTTTTTTTAATCTTTCTCATTATGTGATATTAATGCGTAATTCTCTTTTCTCCCTTTCTTCCTTTCTTCATCGTTGCTGCCTGTCTACAGGAGGAGGAAGAAGTAAGTGTTATTATGTACTCCTTTTTAGCTTCATTTATTCATTTATCGTTGTGTTCCTCTTTTCGTGGAAAAAAAAAAATGTTGTCAAGTAATATATTCAGATATGTAGATTTAGAAAATTCACATCTCATCTTTTTATCTTGATAAACAGTTGCACATATTTTTCCCTTAAAGCTATTTTCTTCTAATTCTACCCTATATTTTCTATCTATCTGTCTATCTGTGCATATCAATCAATCTTTATCTATCTATCTGTCTGTCTATCTCTCACTATGTCTCCCAATTCCTTCTCTCTCTCTCTCTCTCTCTCTCTCTCTCTCTCTCTCTCTCTCTCTCTCTCTCTCTCTCTCTCTCTCTCTCTCTCCCTCTCTCCCTCTCCCCCTCTCTCCTTCTATCTCTCTCTCCTTCTCTCTCTCTCTCTCTCTCTCTCTCTCTCTCTCTCTCTCTCTCTCTCTCTCTCTCTCTCTCTCTCTCTCTCTCTCTCTCTCTCCTCCCCTCCCTCCACCTATCCCTCACCTTACCCTTCTTCTAACTTCCACCTTCCATCTCCTATTTTCACCCTTATCATCATCCCTCTATCTTACACCATCTAACCCCCCGTCTCCGTTTTCTTTTTCCAGGGGAGATGAGGGGGCCAACTTCCTTAAGAACCGCCAGCAGATGAAGATGTCCGAGCTGGACGAACAGCTGGCGGAATACATCGCTGAGTGGAGGAAGCAGAGATCCAAGGAAGAGGATGAGCTCAGGAAACTCAAGGAGAAGCAGGCTAAGAGGAAGGTGAGGAAGAGGGGAGGAGGGAAAGGGAATGAAGGGAGGGAGAGAGGGATTGGGAAATGTAGTGAAAGAGAGAGAGTGAGAGGGAGGAATTGGGAAATATAGTGGGAGAGAGTGAGAGAGAGAAAGAGAGAGTGATAGATATATATATATAGAGAGAGGGGAATTGAGAGGCATAGTGGAAGACAGAGAGAAAGAGAGAGAGAGACAGAGAGATAGAAAGAGAGAGATTGAGATAGATAGAGTGAGGAGAATTGAGAAACATAGTGGAAGACATACAGAGAGAGAGAGAGATAATATGAGAGAGAAGTGAAGAAGAGAAAAGAAAAAAAAATGCATTTCCTTCACCCCCTCCTTCAGCGTCTCAAGCCCCCCCTTTCGCCCCACAGATCCTCCGCGCTGAAGAGGAGAAGAAGCTGACCGAGCAGAAGAAGGCCGAGGAGGAGCGCAAGCTTCGCGAGGAATCCGAGAGGAAGCAGAAGGAACAGGAAGAGAAGAGGAAGCGCCTCGAGGAAGCAGAGAAGAAGCGCCAGGCCATGATGAAGGGATCCAGCGTAAGTTGCAAAAACCCCTCTTTGTGAGAATTTAGAATTAAAAAAAAAAAGAAATGGAGTGGATGAATGGAAGTGAGAGAGAAAGAGAGAGAGAAAGAGAGGTTCGCAGAGGGTGCCGGTTAATGTCGGAGGCACTCCAGGACATCATACACTGTCTAAATTTGATTTGTTAGACAGGAGATATTACGAGGGTGCACCTGTTCTCTTCGTTGCAACATCGGACATCATTCTGCTCCTGAATATGTTGTCCTTATATTTCCCTTCGTTGGTAAAATCACATTTTTTTTTCTCATTTTCAAAGTTGATCATCATCCCCCCCCTCAGGATTCACGAAATAGCACGTTGCAATGACTATCATATCTTAGAAGTAGTTCAACCTTGCACCGCTTAGCCAGAGAGTACGTGTTCCCGCCAACAGTATGCCATAAATCCCCCGGTTTCCCCTCCAAGATTCCCTTCCATGGACCCCCAGACTATCAACAAGGTCCATCCGCTTAGAATTGGAAGCTTTTTTTCCCCCAGATGCTCTTTCCCCCATCAATAGTCTTAGAATTCGAGGCTTTTCCCCCAGAGACACAGGTGACTGGAAATCCCTTTGGCTCGGCGCTTAATAGCATCTTGCCTTAGCTTAGGCTGTTTCTTCGACCGGTGGCTGACTGTTCAATGACATAACACTTAAGATACACCTACTTTTGCACCCACCTAGCCCTTGAAGGGTTCACCTAGTCCTTAAGACGTTCACCTAGCCCTGTAGCAGCATACAGACTGCCATGGGGTTCAGAGTAGTCGAGCTGAGGTTCATCGGATTCAACATCTCAGATATTCGTACCCTGGTTCGAAGCCATGGGCGAATGAAGCTGTAGGATGTAGTAGTTCAGTGAGGATTTATTACCAGAGCAAACTGAAGCAAATGATCATTACAGTATTATCTTCGCCATGAAAATAAATTGATTAATGGAGAAATCTGCTAGGTTTGTGCGGTCGAAGCCAGCTGAAATGTTGAATCTGATAATCGCTAGTTATGCATCATAGGAATGCATGGTGCAAGGTGATGAAGCTTGCATATTTGAGATTAGACTTAATGGATGTTGTCCATTAGATATTGATGATGATGAATAATCCTCGTGTGATGAATACCATTATACATCCTTAAATGGTAACGAAAAAAAATGTTGTAGTTGTTTTTATCATGATTTTTTCTTTCTCTCCTTTTATTATTTTTTAATAGCTTTTCTTAGTGTTATTTCAGACAGATTTATTTTGTCTAGAACAAAATGTTCCCATCCGATTTTCGTTTTCTTTTTCAGGAGGTGAGAAACTCATTCTCCTGAAGAAATGGATTATTATATTCCCCGTAGAAAGTATACGCACGATCCCCAATTATAAGTCCAACAGCTGATAACTGAATACTCCTGCCCGTATTTCCAGAAAGTTCTCTTTTAACCAACTTCACTCATTTAACATGGAAGAGTTCAACTTGACTGGTTTGGTTTGGATTGCCTTCGTGATGATAACACCATCTGTTTCTCTCGCATTTCATACTTTCTTTACAGTTTTAACAAAGTTTCTTTCATTCCGTAAAGATTCTGGCCATTATATTTACTTGTTTCTGGTTTTGTTTTTTATTTCTTTGCATTGATTTCTTCTTTCTTTCCCCACTATCTTGTGCTCCCCCCGCTCCCCGCCCCCCTCTATATTTTTTTTTTGTCCAAGACACAACAAATCGTGATCTCGTTCAGTTTCCTCTCCGAGGTTATTCATAAAGAAAACGGAGTGCAGGAGGAAACCCATTTTCTATGTTACACCGTGATTTCCATATAATGTATGTGTGGCCCTCCCTTTTTTTTATCTTTATTCTGCGTGATTCTGTTTTGCTCTTGTTTCAGACACCTGATTGTTGGTTATTGGGTTCACTGTATCTGTACTTTACTATGTAATCCTCACCACTGACTAATATGGTGTTGTACTCTATGTAAACGTGTTCTATGTGACAGTTTATATATATATATGTATATATATATATATATATATATATATATATATATATATATATATATATATGTATATATGTATATGTATGCATGTATATATATGTGTATATATGTGCATGTGTGTATATATGTATATATATATATATATATATATATATATATATATATATATATATATATATGTCTGTATGTATGTATTCATGTGTATATATACATATATATACACATATGTGCGTGTGTGTGTGTGAGTATTTACATGATAGTATATGTGTATATGTGTGTATGTGCATATATATATATAAATTTATATATATATATATATATATATATATATATATATATATATATATATATGTATGTATGTATATGTATATATATATATACACATATGTGTGTGTGTGTGTGCGTGCGTGTGTGTGTGTGTGTGTGTGTGTGTGTGTGTGTGTGTGTGTGTGTATGTGTGTGTGTGTGTGTATGTGTGTATATATACATGTATATGTATGTATGTATATCTATATATGTGTATATATATACATGTATATGTATGTATATATGTATGTATATGCAGTATATATATATAAGTATGTATATGTATATACATATATATATATATATATATATATATATATATATATATATATATATATATATATATATATACATACATACATACACGCACATACACATACATATGTTCATATCAAGACTATTTTGGAGCTAGTACTCTCACAAAAGATATCACAAACGAAAGTCATGTACATAGCCTTTGTTATGATCATAAAGAGAAGACTCAAATGCACAACAGCATAGCAGTTGGAATGCAACAGACATCACTGCCTCCGCTTCCCGTTTCTCGCTCTGACACACTGTCTTCTTTCAGGATGGCGTCAAGAAGTTCGGCGTCAAGAGCGGCGGTGACAAGGTGAGTTCTTCAAGCTTTGGTAGTTTGTTTGTTTTTTGGGGTGGGTGAGAGATTAAGGTGGAATTGTATATTGGAAAGGGGAAAAGATGCAGTATTGATGTGTAGGATCAATTCGATTGTGTTTCAATTGGTGATTCATTTCTTGATTTGTCTCAGTTATTCATCTAATTCCATTATTCATTCTCTTTTTTATGTCATTCTTTCATTCCCTCATTCCCACTCTCCCCCACGCCCCAACCCTCCCGATGCCTCATACACTCCCTCATTCACACGCCCCAACCCTCCCGACGCCTCATTCACTCCCTCATCCCCACTCTCCCCTACGCCCCAATCCCCCCCAACGCTTCATACACTCCCTCATTCACTCCCTCATTCCCACGCCCCAACCCTCCCGACGCCTCATTCACTCCCTCATTCCCACGCCCCAACTCCCCACTCCGCGTCTTGACTGACTCCTTCCTCTCCCCCACCAGTTCTCCAACATCCAGGCGGCCAAGGGCGAACTGGGCAAGACCCGCGAGCAGCTGGCCGAGGAGAAGAAGATTGCCCTGTCCATCCGCGTGAAGCCCCTCTGCGTCGACGGCGTTGGTGCGTCCGCCCTCCGCCAGAAGGCCGAAGAGATGTGGAACCTCATCATCAAGCTGGAGACCGAGAAATACGACATGGAGGAGAGGATGAAGCGACAGGACTACGATGTAAGTGGGGAGGAGGAGGAGGAGGGGATTTAGTAAGGAGGAGGAGAAGGAGGAGGAGGACCCGTTGAAAGAGTAATAGGAGGAAAATGAAGTCATGTAGATTTCATTAATATTATTTTCATCTTAATATTCTTAGATTGGTTCTCTTCACGTCTTTCTAATAATATTTTGTCAATTCCTGACAAAGTAAACATTAATATCAATCAATTCAGAGTTCAATTATTTTTTTCTGGAATACATTTGCATATAACAATTCAATTATTCGATCAAAGTCTGAACCATTGTTAAAATAACCCTCAATGTCCATTATCCAACCCGGTGTTCCTTTCCAGCATGTTGTTTTAAGGAAGTTATTCTATTTTTCGTTTTCATTTTTACAATTTTTGACAAGCTTTTAATCAATCAACCTTTTTATTTTGCTTCCTACCACCCCTTTTCAAAAAAAAAAAAATGCTATGCCTGTAATGCTGTCCACCAATCCAGATTTAAGCCATTGGCTTTCAACGTGCATGACACTATTAAATCGGTTAACTTTTTTTTAACCTCCTTTGCAATTCTCATATTTTTCCCCCAAATCTAAAACAAAACACGCTGGCTATTTTTTGAATTTTTTTGTGTGCCACCCTATTTTTTGGGGCTTCAATTTATTTTCTCCTTGCAATTTTTTTCTTCCTTTTTTTGGCCAGTGCATGACCCGAAATATTTTTTAAAGGGATCAGTATTTTTTTTCTGTATCCTTCAACTGAAAATGTGAATGAAAAAAAGAGGAAAATGTCCAAAGAAATGGAGAGACGAGTCCTGCATGTACCCGGTCCTTAAGATCCAAGAAATCAAAGAAAACGAGAGGAATCCTTATTTCTATGTTTTCGAGGAAAGTGTCATTTAAAAGTTCACTCTAAACCCGCGAAACACACTGTCTTTTCTCTCAAATAATACTTTTTTTCTAAATAAGTACCCTTTGTTATCAAGTGACTTGTAAATGACACGTGAAGGGGAAAAAAGTAAATAAGGTTTTCCTCTTCAGTGACGAACAGTGATTCGTTTGCCCAGAAATAATGAATCGAGGGCGTTTTCCCGTTTTTTTTATCTTTTTTTTTCCTCCCGTTAACAGACCTCTCACTTTTTTCCACGAGTATGTAGTTCTACCTGGACCGGTGCTCCTTTTAAACGTCCCTGGTACTTATCTTCTTTCTTTAAAAAAAACAAGGCAGGCTCTTATCGGTAGCGTCTTTAGGCTTGTTTATTCTTTTTTTTTTAATTGTTCTTCTACATTTTTTTTTCTTCTAAATCCAGAGAATCTTTCTTTTTTCTACAAAATGATGATTTAGAAAAAAGGAATCGAAATTAACAATGCCCTCTGGGTTGCCCACATTACAGCTGAAGGAGCTTAGGGAACGTCAGAAGCAACAGCTCAGGCAAAAGGCCCTGAAGAAGGGTCTTGATCCCGAGTAAGTCTGAACACGAGCCAGTCAGTCGCTCGTTCGCTCATCTCACCTTCACCAAAATTCAGTTTTCATCTCCTTTTTATAAAGCATCGGTGCATTTCTAAGTAGATCGTCTCGACAAGCTCATCAGACTTTAAAACAGATTCTCTCAGCATCTTGAGTTATCACACTCGTCTCTTCGGAGGGAGGGAGGGAGGAAGGGAGGGAGGGAGGGAAGGAGGGAGGGGGGACAGACAGGGAGTCGGAGAAACGACGACTTCGGCGCGACTTCCCGTCAATTATTTTCTTTGCCAATTAAAACTAACTTTCTGCATGGCTGATCTGCGATTAACCGGTATATAATATGCTATTAGATATGACTGAATTAGACCACTTGTTCTTCTTGTAAAAGAAAATGGTAAAACTATGCTATTCCCTTTGTGTATTTAGTAGAATAGGTTGTGACAATCAACCTTTCCATAGAAAAAAGAAATACCCACTTATTCTAATAAGAAATCTATATATAAGGTATTACTTTAGAACCACTAACAAACACCCCCTCCCAACTATCAGAACTTTTTTTTCCTTTGTGTTTGCCAACCAAAACGTCCGACCTGGTCTAACCAGACTCGTATCCCATGACCTTTCACGACCTCTTTTGCCCTAAAAAAAAGCCCCTGCCCAGCCTGCGACGATGAATCTCTTTGACCCACGATTTTGTGCTATGGTTTTACAGCTGAAGGAGTTGAAAGAACGTCAGAAGCAACAACTCAGGCAAAAGGCCCTGAAGCGAGGCCTGGAGGCGGAGTAAGTTTTTCGTCTTCTTCATCTGCTTCAACCAAAACAAACCAATCTCACCTTTTTTTTATTATTTTGTCTCTCTCTTTCTCTTTCTCTTTCTTTCTCTCTTTTTGGTCTTATCGGATTCAGATATTTGTTGCATGGGAACCTCACCCTCGCTCTTTTTTTTATTATGATTTTTTTTTTCCTTTTTTCTTTTTTTTTTTCTTTTTTTGGTCATTTGCCCCTTTTTTGGTTTCGCTCGGCATAAAAGAGGCTCCATGATTTTACAGATCATGTGGCTTTCTTTGGTCGCTTTATTTTGTGAGGAAGTAAATTTTTTTTTTTTTTTTTTTACAATTTTATATATGAATTAACTTTTAATGATCTGTTATTTTTTCTCTACTCTTTATTTCATCATCTATTCACTCGTTCTTTTTGTTCTTCACGTTATTTGTGAAAAAAAAAATGTCGTTGTTCAATATACTTACGAACGGTTCGTCCACTGTGTGACGTCATCATGTCTCTTCGTCTGTGCGCTTTCTTACGCAAACGCCACGTCCGGTGTCCGTTGTGTCTTGCCTGCAGTTTTTAAACCTTTTTTTTTCCTTTTTTAAATATTCTTTTGAGACTTTAAGTTGATGTCCATGTTTTTTCACAAGCAGTAGAATGAGTTTTGTGCATTCTACTGCTAACCTAAAAAAAAATAATAATAAAATAGCGCGGAGTACCTATTGGTCATTTGTTAGGCTTAGATTGCATTTGAAAAAAAAAGACGTACGTTACGATTTTTTCCTTCTTCAATGATGTTCTCAGTAAATGCAAGATATATTCCGTTACTTCAACATTTTATCGCTGTCTTACGCCGGGAAATGATAAAAAAGATCTGTCTATAGCCACGCGAATTTTCCCTTTTCTTTCTCCCCCTTTCTACATCTCTCGTAATCTTTTATTTATATTCTCCTTTACTACCTCTACCTGGCAAACTTTCCTTAACTAATATTTCTCAACGACAGGATAAGAAAGGTTTGGAACCTGTAGAGTCTTTTAGAAGTAAATCCAACCACCTGTAGAGTATAAACAGAGGTAGTTTTTTGGTGTGATGTAAATAGTAAAAAAAAAAGGACAGGTAAATAGAACCATTTGAATTTTTTACAGTAGTTCCTCACAGTAATGGTATTAGTCCATAGATTTTGGCAATAGATTTTCCTGGTTACTTTGTTTCTCTCACGATTCGTCTTTATTTGGAGAGAAACCGGTATTATTTCTGATGTTGGTAATTCCCTTTTCTGAAGTTTCCAAAAACAGGATTGCTCGTTCTATCAAGCATCACAGGTATGATTACTTTCATCTCAAACTAGATACGCTATTCAAACACCTAGAAGATTAATTACTTGAATTTGCATAGTATATCATTTGTCATTTCTCTCACCTGTAGGTATTGCACACCTGCACACGTCGATAATTGCAATGATCATTAGTATTGGTTATCATGTCGCTGAGCAAAGTTATTCATTCTCAAGACCGCGGAAACAGTAATACACAGTCGGGTTACACGGATTTCATATAGTGAATGAGAATCACTTATAGCATCTTATAGCCGTGTAGGTCATTCTCACCAGTAGGTCTTTCGGGTTCAATTCTTACCCTTTTGGTTCGAGGTGGCAACAACTACAGTAAGAACGTGTGCGAGATTCACGTATCTTCACGTAAAATACTTCGAGATAAAAAAAAGGAATCCGATTAAGGAGGAATCAAACCAAAATTTAAAACAAAAAGAAAAGAAACATTAGAATATAAATGAAAATTTAATAATCTAAGTTTAAGTTTAATAACCAAATTACTGAAGATTTTCCTTGCTCTCTTTTGTCACCACGAGCCTAAAGGTTTTAGAATTTAGTCCGCGCGTCTTCCTCATCAGTTGAAAAGAATGTATTATCTATATATAAATGTTTTCATGTTCAGTTTGTCCAGACTCTAATGTACATGTTTTTTTATATGTATTCTTATTCTTTATTTTCAGTATTCATTTATTTGGGTCATTTGACAAGTTAAAAACTAACCCAGCTCCATTAAATGCTACTTTAACAACATCTTCATGTTATTATTTTTCTTTTTTTTGTGGAAAACATGCTTAGCGTCTGGATTTGACTTTGTGAGCAGTTTCGTATTAATGTCATCAATGCACTTATATGATGATGACTTTAATAAGAACTACTGTGTCTCGCAACTACAACACATAACGGCCTCATTTGCATAAACAGCTTGTATGGGATCTCACTGACATTTTTTAGTTCATTTCATTTCTCTTTTTTTAATTTCTCTTTCTTGTTTCTAGATTTCCTTTGAATGATATACTGAAATATGATATATGTGCATAATGACGGACTATTCTCTATCATTTCTTGATTTAATTAATTCGTTTCGTTCGTCTTGCGTCACATCAGGGCTCTCACCGGAAAACACCCGGTAAGTTAAACATTTTTTATCATTACTGGTTAGTTTCATATTTTATCGAGTTTATGTAGTCTCTCATTTTAGCGTTAGTTAGCAACTGATAATTTACTTATCAATGAAGTATTTGTTCATGAATTACCAATCCATCAATTTCTGTTCATATTATCATATTATATTTAGATTAGTCCCTCTTTTTAGATTCCTATATATATATAAATAGTCAAGAAAACAATGTCTAAATAATAAGGAATCAAGTACATCCCACGTTCCCTTTGCCTCTTGCTTAGGGGAAATCACCCTAAAACCCTGCCATTATTTAGGGGGGGAAATCCTTACTAAAGTCCCCTTCTTTCCCCAACAGCCCAAGATCCAGACTGCCTCCAAGTTCGAGCGACGCACAGACAGGAGGACTTACGACGACAAGAAGAAACTTTTCGAGGGTGTAAGTATTTTATTTTTTACCCTTGTTACTTTTCTTCTTCAGTCTCTTTCTTTTTACTTTTGTTTATATTTCTATTTTTGGTTGCTGATGAATAGGTACATATTATCTTATGGTTTGTTTATGGTTTATTTTGAACATATTGCTTGCCTTATTGATGTTCATTTGTTTTGCATCGTACACTTTGTTCGATGTAAACAAACAACTTCTTTTTATTTTAGTTTATTATTTCTCCATAAATTTTGAATTAAAAAAAAATGTGAATTATATTTATTTTCTAAGACTTATTATTAAGTTTGATTAATGGTTAAGTTATCTTAAGTTATTTAAGTTAAGGTTTACTTTCCGTACATTTCTTTCCCCCCCCCCCTTCACATTTCCTTTCGATCTCTTGGACAACTAATAACCTTTCAATGGCTTCTTTTTCTAATTCACTCTCTAAGATTCTTATATAGTAGGTAGATCATTTCTAGCTAATGATCACACGCTGTTCAAAAAGTTATGATTCTTGTCATACTTTTCTGTTTTTAATTGATTTCTTTGTGCCTAATCTGTAGACGGCTTCTTTTTTCTTTCTTCCTAATATCTGGAAACGACAACTAATATCTTCAACATGAGTAGAGTAAAAAAAAAAAAAAAAAAAAGGAAAAAAAACGCAATACGATAATTTCATTCCCAGTCAATATTAGAGAAATCAATTCTGGATAAGATTTCCAAAATTTTTCATTTCTTTGAAAAGTATTTAGCTATCAAGCTATACTTGTGAAATTGTTTTCGTAAGACACACAATCCAGTGTGTTCTCGCCTTACACACAGGGTTGGGATATAGTTATCAAGGAAGACATGGAGAAGCTGTGGAAGGAGAAATACGAAGAATTCATGTCAAGGACAAAGAGTGAGTAAAAAAAACAAAAAAGGGTTACTGGGTGATCAGAAACGCTTTGTTGCTGCGCTAGATCCTCTCTTATGTTATTTATTTTCTTTATTTCTATCCGTTTTTTGGCACTGTTCCTGCCTATTTAGCGTATCCCTACTCGACGGACGTTTGGATACATCCTCTTCTACTTTCCGTTTCTTTTTTTCTTTTCTCTCGCTTTCTTTAGTTTAGAGGAGTTCTCAAAGGTGAGAGTTTGTCCAGCGCCTTCCCTGTCCTTTTCTCTTTTCTTTCCTTAATGACCTGGTGACATTTACCACCAGGGCTGGGAAGTTGTTCACAAAGAAGTTCTCCAGAAAGTTTGGGAGACGAAGTATGAAGAGTTTATGGGCAGGACGAAGTGTAAGTATAAGAGTTGGTGACCCTCTCAAAGCTCCCCCCCCCACACCCGCCAAGCAACGCCCCCCACCACCGTGTCCACCTCCCCGTCTTTTTAGCACTCTAAAAGAAAACCCACACTTCCCTGTGGTGAATTCCTGAAGAGTACGTGCGTTGCCATCAGCCCTCTTCTATCTCTGTGGTGTTGGCGACGCCACGGTATGGAGCCCCCCCTTCCCCCCTCTACCTTTCTTACTTTTTATCCCCTGTTTATGACCTCCAAAAAACACTTGTACCTTCAGGGCTGGGAAGTTGTACACAACGAGGAGCTGGAAAGGTACTGGAAGGACAAATACGAAGAGTTTGTCAACAGGACGAAGTGTAAGTACGGGCGGCTAGCACTGGACACTGTGTTCAAGATAGCAGGAATGGCCCATGGCGTCGCTCGCTCGTAGTTCTCAGAGTAGACCGTTGAGATTCCGATGACGGACTTAACACGAGCGCGGGGGAATGCATGTCCTATGAGCCCTGAATGCGTCGCTCGGTCTCGCACGCGTGCCAGGGACTCCCATGAGCATGACTCGCATGGTCCAGTGAGGGAATGACCTCAGAGGCAGGCTACTGAGTGCATGACAGGATGTCCAAAGCACGGTGTATGTAGAGGGACATGCGTGCACACACACACGTGTTAAGTCTGCGGTAATGGGAGAGGGGAGAGAGAGAGAGAGTGAGAGAGAGCGAACGAGAGAGCCAGAGACAAGATTCTTGTCTTCGGCTGCCAATGCTGCGCCTTCTCTTCCTCCTCCTCCCCCTCCTCCCCATCCCCGCTCATGTAGTCCCCCTTCCCCACGCTCCCACGTGGGAGTGTGGAGTAGTAGTTCCATCCCCCCCCCCCCATACCACTACTACCCCCACTCTTCTCTTTCGCGGAAGTAACCCTTTAAGCTGACCTTGGATCATTCCAGTATCTAGCGGACACGGCTGCGTCCCCCATCCACACACAGCCTGGTTTAACGCCAATGAAGCAACCAAAGATATCTGTTCTAGTCTTGTCGATTATTACTTCATTTCAGCTTTTTTTTTATTGCCAGCAAGCCCCGCCCCTCCGTCTTTTTCAAATGCTTCTATTATTTAGATCCTTCGAGGATCCCCCCCCCCTCCCTCCCTCCTTCACTTCTAAACCTTTCATTTTGACAATTTTATCGTTACGATTTTGTAATGACACAACGCCTCCTTTTTTTCTAAATAGGAACGAGGTAAAGTTTTTTTCCTTCTTTCTTTTTTTAAATATCCCAACGAAAAAATCGTTTTGAACTTTTATCTCAGCAGGAAATCCGGGCCATTACGTCTGCATTTATACACATTTAGATTTTTTTTTTCTCCCAGCACCCACGTACTTCCACCCAAACGTGAATCCATTCCCCCCCCCTTCTCTTCCCCCCTCCCTCCCCTCCCCCCCCATTTGTCCCCCACCCCCCATTGCCGCCTCCCCGCGCGTTTTCTAACGACTTTCGGGTGAC